GTCTTTTGAATGTTAGCTTCTTGGTCAGCTTCGATTAATGTTTTGCCTACTAAGTGTTGATAATTATCTGCTGAAACCATTTTTATTAATGAACTTTTAAACTTTGCTAAATAATTTAATTTCATACAAAATATTAAGATTGACTTATAAAATGCTTATATACCATCAATTGATGTCATTATTTTTTCGGTTAAAATGGAAATTGATCATTGGTGAAATTTGAATCACTACATCATTAGTTTATAAAGGAATATAACTTTCAATTCATAACTTAAAAATATCTGCAACTAAAATTGCTAAAAGTTTTGACATAAGTAGTGGATGCTTCTCTCAGTTCTGATTTGATTCATTTTTAGAAAAATACATTATGCTCATCAAGATATTCGCAAGGTTATAATAATATAGATTAATAGGAAATAATCAGCAGCTACGATCTAATTAAAATATACCATAACAATTAATAATATATATTCCTTGATTAAGTGCTTAATTGTGCAGTGAAAATATTAAAGAACTCTCATGATAACAGTACTTTTTTATACAATTATTAATAAGCTGCTATACTAAGATGGTGAATATTAGGTAATGCTAACCAGCTTCATCTGATATAATCATTTTTGAATTATTCTATTTTCACTCAACCATATTATCATGTATTTTTTAAAATCCTGTGATAGTAGAATAGAACTAGTATAAAAGCCTTGATATATAAGGGCACTAATTACCAAATAATTTTATTATCCGTTCATAACTGATTTAATTACACCATTCTCATCAACCTTTACGCGTAAACGTTCTTCAACAAAGTCAAAAGTGTACATACTCCCAGGTTCCTCTACTCTACTAGGTTTAGGTAATTCGCTCTCTAAAACCTAAACATATTATAATTATTACCGAATGTAAATTAAAATAAATAATAAACTTACATGATTATCTGTCTTTTGAACGCTAGACTCTTGACCAGCTTTAATTAAAGTTTTACCTACTAAGTTTTGATAATTATCTGCTGATACCATTTTAATTATTGAATTTTTAAACTTTAAAAAATTATTTAATCTCATACAAAAACACAATATTAGTTTATATAGTGTTTATATATCTTCAATTGACGTCATTACTAATATTTAGATTTAAATGAAAACTCATATTGGAAAAATAGTCATTTGATCATATTTAATTAAGTGTAATAGTTAATACATTATATCTAAAAGAGTTAATATCTATGATTTAATACAGATATGTGGCATGCATACGCAGTTAGTACTTACTTTAAAAATATCTTGTATTTTAAACTTATAGTAAAGCTCTCTAATTAATTCAGAAAATTAAAATAATTAGATAAGTATAGTTTATTCACTATTTAAAGTTTACTTAATTTTTCTATACAGCTTAAGACTCCAGTTCATATTTTTGACCAAGATATTAAACTATTTAACATGAATAAAAACGAAAATATACAATATTCTCACTAAATTTGCAATCTTTTTCAAGTTTAAATTAACCGTCGAAAACTGTTAACGTAATATTAATACAGGCGCGATTTATACTATAGAATTTTATTAGATTTATACATTATTATTAGTCTACTTTATAACTAGTTAAATAATTCACTACCAAAAAGAAGTATTACATATACAATATTTTTTAAAATTAACTCTTCAAGTTTAGTGACTTGCAAATTGAGGTGAATAAAAAATTTTAAACTAAAATATAAAATTGAAATTGGCCAAAAAGAAAAACATAAAAATTTTAATCATGACGCTCTTTCTCTTTCTAACAAAATATAAAAATATGATAAATTTAATAAGAAACTCGATATCACTAATAAAGCCTAATAAGTTAAATTATTATCAGCTTAGGTTTATTAATACCAAGAAGGATAGCTTTTATATCGAGCAAACTAATAAAAAATATATGAAATTTAGTAATACTCAGTTTGAAATTGATAAAACTAAAAGCGAAGCTAAGCTAATTAAAAAAGAGAGCCCTACAAAATCTTTGGGATTAAGTGATAAAATCCTATATTTTAGAGATGATTTTAGACTTAAATTTATTACTACTTTCCTTCCAAAGGACTTTCCTAACTCAGTAGGCTCAGGGTATTGGCTATTTACCAAATACCAGTTCTTATCAAATGTAGCTGGGACTGTTACAGGTGTACTATCAATGCAGAGTCTACTATTTGCTGTAGGACTTGGAAACGGTTCTATACCTGTAAATTGATCTTTATTAACTAAAGTAAAATTTAACTAATTTTTATTTAGATGGCTGCTGCTCTAAATTGGATAATAAAAGACGGTTTAGGACAACTTGGAGGCGTTATTTATGCTAGTAGAATGGGTGGAAAGTTTGACAGTGAGCCCAAGAGGCATAGGTTTATTAGCTCTGTAGTTATGCAAATTTCTTACTTAATGGAAGTGTTCTCACCTCTTGTTCCTCACCTCTTTTTGCCTCTTGCCAGTGTATCTAACATCTTTAAAAATGTATCTTGGTTAGCTAACTCAGCTACTAGAGCCCCAATGAACCAGAGTTTTGCTCTTCATAATAAGTAACAAAATTTGTATGTCATCAATTGGCTCCATATTAACATATTTTTTAGCTTGGGCGATATTACTGGAAAATCAGGGTCTCAGTCCACTGCCGCTGCAGTAATTGGAACTGCAATTGGGGTTGGAGTATCTTCATTAACAGGAGGTGAGCTGGTTAAAGTATTTGTCGCATTTATCCCATTTTGTTATTTATCATTGTATTGGACCTATCTATCCAATAATGCTGTAATTACAAAAAATTTAAATCATCAAAGAATGGAAATTATTCTCTCTAATTATTTTGAAAAATATTTACAAAACCCTATCCATGATCAACCATTAATTGACTCTATAAAACTACTAACACCTAAACAAGTCTCTTATAACGAGACTTTTGTATTTCCATTCAAAACGAGCAATAAGTATGAAATCGTTGTGAATAGCAATATTAAACATTTTATCACTAATGACGATGAATTAGTCAGAAAATTAAAGCAAACTCTGAGTAATTTAGATCATTACTTAGTCTATGTGAAAAACAGTAAAATTTACTTGTGGTATATAGATACGCCCTCCAGTAATCACATTTTGCAAGGTTATTACCATGCAAGTTGGATAAACTACAGACTAACTCAAAACCCTTTGATTAACGCTAATGAATTAGAGTTTAGTGTAGAGAAGTTTGAATGTTTTTATGATAAATTAACTCAAATTGGATGGGATACTAATCACTTACACTTGTCAAAAGTTAAATACAATTTAAAAACTATTTAAATTAAACTAATAAAATAATAAAAAATAAACAAATTTAATTTTAATGGATAGATTAAACTACTTTTTACTCCTTTTGCTTAAGTTATATTTACTCTAAATAATCTGTAATGACTCAAAAAGAATAAAAAAGAATTTGATTAAATTTATAAATCCCACAATTTGAATTTTAAAATACTCTAATACTAAATTATAAATGGATGTAGTGAAAATTTATTCAATATCAAATAACTGTAGAATTTATTAAATAATGTTAGATATCGCTCAAGTAAATAATAATAATTTAATTAATTTTAATAATATATTCTAATAAGTAAATTTTAATAGACTAAAAAAGCTATTAAAGCCTTAACAGCTTACCTTAAAGAAAAGAAAAATGACGAATCAAATATTTTAAATGAAAGTCAAATTGTTTTAGTTAATTTAACTTTAAATAAAATTAACACTAAGCCCAAAGCCCCCACTTTTGTGTAAATTCTAATACATATATTTATAAACAATATTTACTAATTTTATTCATTTAGCGCTTTACCTCATTTAATCTTCCCTGAAGACTCTTCAGTCTGTTTAATTGTTAAGGACGCCAAGTCTATTGAAGAAAAATTAGAATCAGAAGGTATTAAATCCGTTAACGAGGTAAAATTATATAATTAAACTACACAAACCCAATTATTAACATTTATTTAAATAGATATTAGGATTTGATGATTTAAAGACTAAGTACAAATCTTATGAATTAAAGAGACAATTAAAGAATAAGCACGAAATTTTCTTATGTGAAGAAAAGTTAATTCCTTTATTACCCACTTACTTAGGAAAGAAGTTCTTTGAATCTAAAAAGTAAATTGAACATATTAAATAATAACCATTAACTAACATGCAAAATAGGTTACCTATTCCAGTTAAGCTTCAAGGAAAGTTAGGCGATAAAATCGACAAGGCCATTAAAACCTGCTCAGTCTACAGCCCCACCGGTACAACTGTCAGTTATAAAGTAGGAAACTCAGACTCTACCGATTCTGAATTAGTCGACAATATTGAAACTTTATTCAAGAAGTTGCCCAATGTAATCCCTGGAGGTTGGGAATCTATTGAAGGTGTTGGTCTTAAATCCACCAAATCCCCCAACTTACCCATTCAATAATATAATTTAGGCTAAAATTAAACTAGACATGTTAATTTATAGATCGAATTATTATTACTTATAGACACTCTGATCCCTTTAATATAAATTATAAACTAACTATATTAATAAACATAAAATTTCTTTTTCAATAATATTAAGTGTGATATAATTAGATTTTAGTTGATGAAATATATTAATTGGAATTTTAAAATGTAAAAATAGTCTTAAACATTAACTATAATCTAGCTAATAACTATCAACCTCTTAATATTAAACTAATAATATTTA